CACACACACACACACACACACACACACACACACACAATATTCCTTTGAAGTAGATTACATAGATAATGAATGAAATTATGAATTGTAAATTCTGGCTATACTAAAAACATTTCACTGTAAAATTACTTTTGGTGATGAGTTCATAGCTACTGGAAAGTGCATCACAGCAGAAGGTATAGTATATACTGTGGTTGGGGGAGGGAGTAGGAGCCATCATAAAACCCTTTTCTCTATCCAATATTAAGTTTATATTTTACTGTCTCATAGGAATTGATTCTGTTAAAATATTTATTAAATGAATTTTGTCTTTTTGTACCTAAAAATCTGTAAGCAAATGGATGCTTAAGTTTTCCCCTTATTTTTTTCCTAGGGAACAACTCCAAGTTTCCTTTGGACAGTACACCAGTTCGAAATCGGGGTGGTGGAGATGGAGATTTTCAGTTCAGACCATTTTTTGTGGCTTCTCCCACAGCACCTGAACCCAGCAACAGCTTTTTTAGTTTTGCTTCCCCAGGTCGTGAAGTAGAGCAGCAGCAAATCTCTAGTAGGGCCTTTAAAGTGAAAAGAATTTAGCTCATTTTACAGAATGTTTCTCTTATCACTTTCAGTGGTCTCATTTAGCAAATTACCTTTATTCTAGTTAGGGTAGGAGTCCCCATCATTGTGCTGTTATATTTTTATGAGAGACTCGGTGTCTGTAGGAATGGCTTTAGAGTCTATAGTTTCTTTTTCTGTTTCCATTATTTAAGACATGAGCATTATATTAAACTCAATTTTGTGAACTGTTAAGTTTTCACCAGCAATGAAAAGGGTATAATATTTTTGACTGTTTTGTAGATCACCATTTGTTTTCTTTCTGGATTACATGCTTATTTATGATGTATGTATATATAAGCACTGTGGTATATGTCTACATGTCACTTTGGGTTCTGGTATTTATGCATCTATGTATATATGTGTTCCTTTATATTGGTATTTTGCTGTATTTGCCAGTGTATTTGTAAGAAGATTTTGGTCTCTGGAAATGGCAGGTGAATCTGTAGCTCGTTATTTGGCTATGTATATCTATTTGTATATATTTATTTATTTGCCCTTGTGTTAGTTTGTGGAGGTGTGTTCATGTCAGTGAATGAGAGTACAATTTGATGCATGTATATGAAGTCTTATATTTCTTTTTTAAAATGATTCATATTGATAAAGTTATTTTGTAAAGTTGATTTTTGGCATTTATTTTAAAATAAAATTACTTTTTCTTTACCCCTTTGCCAGCAGTTGCCTTGGGCCTACTTACGCAGAAAATTTAAACAATATATTATTGATCTCAAGAGATTATATTAATTAAAATACTTTTAAAGATTTGTTCCTTGTTTTCCTTTATTAAATAGCATTTCTGACTACTATCACAGATTACTTATTTAAAATATGGGGGCACCTGGGTGGCTCAGTCGGTTAAGTTACCGACTTCTGCTCAGGTCATGATCTCATGGTTCGTGGGTTGGAGCCCCACATCGGACTCTGTGTTAACAGCTCAGAACCTGGAGCTCGCTTCAGATTCTGTGTCTCCCTCTCTCTCTGCCCCTCCCCTACTCGCGCTCTGTCTCTGTCTGTCCCCAAAATAAATAAACATTAAAATGTGGAGCTAAGGGGTGCCCTGGGTGGCTCAGTTGGTTAAACATCCGACTTCATTTGGCTCAGGTCACGATCTCACAGTTCATGGGTCGGAGCCCCGCGTGGGGCTTTGTGCTGACAGCTCAGCTTGGAGCCTCTTTCGGATTCTGTGTCTTCCTCTCTCTCTGTCCTTACTGTGCTCATGCTCTGTCTCTCAAAAATAAATAAACAATAAAAAAAAATTTTGAAAAATGTGGAGCCAGGAAAGAAATTTGAATGACACTTTCAGTTACCTTACATCCTATTAGGGGCGTGACTTGAAAGCATACTGATTGCAGAGGCAGGACATCTGGGTTCCAATTAATGTTTTTTTCCTATTGGTTGTGAGTTTGAATTTAAACTTTCTGGGAATTTGCTTCTACATCTGTAAAATGAAGGACTGAATTAAATTATCTTGTAATCCTTCTTTACCTCTTGAATTTTATTATTTATTTTTATTGGTTTGGGAGGAAATACAATGGGATTACCCTAAATGTCAAATCCCATTGTTATTTGGGTAATAAAGTCATACTGAAAGCATTTGAAGAGGTTTTATATTTAGTTGTAGAAAGGCAAGTAAATACTAAATACCCTTGCTTTATATAATTGGATAGAAAGGAAGTAATGTTTTCTTCGTTAGTAGTATAGAATATAACTTCACTTAAAAAAATTTTTTTTCTGTATTCCAAAGTTAAAATGGTGTCTGAGAAAAAGGTTAAAATCTTTTAAAACCCCTCTCCCCATTTCATAGCTGTTAACACAGATTTCATAGGTTATGTTGCAAAGTATTTTTCTTCCTTAAGCAGTTTTAAATTTTGCTGGAAAATGGTTTGGGGAAATAATTTTATGTATATTCATGATTTCTGCCTTGGACCTTTGCTTCTTTTGTTAGGTTCACAGGATCAGTTTTTTTCTTTTTTTTTCTTCCCCAGACCCCACAGGATCAGTTTGAAATACAAATAAACTATAATTAAAAAGTAAAGAGAGCCTTTATTAGGACTATTATATGCCACTTTTAAAAAAGTTTCTTATTGAAGAGTTTAATATATTCACATGGCACAAGGGTACAAAAAAGGCATAGAGTGAAATCCCTTTCACCCCTGTCCCCCAGTCACCTCACTTTTCTGAAAGCAACTGTTGTCAGTGTCTTGTGTCTCTCTCTGAGATAGGCTATGTAGAAGCAACTAATATTTTATTTAAAAATTAAATTTATTTCTGGGGTGCCTGGGTGGTTCGGTCAATTAAGCATCTGACCCTTGATTTTGGCTCAGGTCACGATCTCGTGGTTCATCAGTTCGGGCTCCATGTTGGGCTCTGCGCTGATAGGTTGGGATTCTCTCTCCCTCTCTTGCTGCCCCTCCCCTCCCTCAAAAATAAACATTAAAAAAAAAAACTTAAAACAATTGGTTTTGAATAGGTAGTACATGTACATAATAAATTCAAAAGTGTACACAGCAAAAGAATTTTGTTTGCCCACTGACAACTCTTGGTCCCCATTTCCCTTTACAGAGACAGTGTCATTGTTTCTTATATATTGTTTCTTATATATTCTAGATGTAGAATATTGTTTCTTATATATTCTAGATGTAGTCAATATATTGGCATTAAGAGTGTGTCAATATACTGTCAGTGTATTAGTTATGGCTTTCATGATACCATCCTGAGTGTTTGGAAAATATTCAACCAATTTCCTTCAAAATTTTAAACTTACAACACAGGCATACACTGTCTTAACCTGTCCTTTTTTGGCAGGGGGAGGTGGTAATACAATCTTGGTATAAGTACAAAGATACGGAACAGAGGTTGCTGGGTGGCTCAGTTGGTTGAATGGCATACATCAGCTAAGGTCATGGTTTTGTGGTTTGTGAGTTGGAGCCCCACATCATCTGTTGCTGTCAGCCTGTCAGCGCAGAGCCTGCTTCAGATCCTCTGTCCCCACTCTCTGCTCTTTCCCTGCTGGTGCTCTCCCCCCTACCCCCCAAAATAAAAAGATACAGAACAAAAATATACATGCAATTAAGTTGAGACTAGTATGTTTCCAGGATTTGGGAAAGAAACAAGTTTTTGAACTCAAAGTGATTTATAGAGCCTCTCTTGAGCTACAGGTATTGGGTTAAGTTGGTTTGCCGTGGTGCCCTTCCTTGAAAACCAACTCTTAGCCACCCTTTGCACCCTCCTCCCCCTCCTTGCAGACCCCATGCTCCAGATCCTGCTTGGATTTACTTTTGGCAACGTGTTTGGAATGTATCTGGCTCAGAATTATGACATATCAAACCTGGCTAAAAAACTTGAAGAAATTTAAAAAGGACTTGGATACCAAGAAGAAACCCTCTAGTTCACGAAGTAGACTCCAGCCCTGCCTCCTGGATATACTGATTTCTGCTGTTCTTGAGGGCCTCCTTACCATCTGAACCAAAAACTTTTGTTTAAAATTCCTGCCTCATCGATTTTCCTCTCTGCTAGATCCTGTGTTGCCTTACAGCACAAAAGGGCCCACAGGTTAAGAAGTACCCTTTTCTGGGGCACCTGGGTGGCTCAGTCTGTTAAGCACCGGACTTCGACTCAGGTCTTGATCTCTTGGTCTGTGGGTTTGAGCCCTGCGTTGGGTTCTGTGTTGACAGCTCGGAGCCTGGAGCTCGGTTTGGATTCTGTGTCTCCCTCCGTCTCTGACCCTCCCCCACTCACGCTCTGTCTCTCTCTGCCTCAAAAGTAAATAAACGTTAACGTTTATTTACTTTTGAGGCAGAGAGAGCGTTAGTGGGAGAGGAGCAGAGAGAGAGGGAGACACAGTATGTCAGCAGAGTCCCTGTGCAGGGCTCAAACTCAGGAGAGGTGAGATCATGCCCTAAGCTGAAGTCGGACCCTTAACCTACTAAGCCACCCAGGTGCAGGGCTCAAATTCAGGAGAGGTGAGATCATGCCCTAAAAGCTAATAAATAAATAAACAAATAAATAAATAAATAAACGAAGTACCCTTTTCCAACATCATCACCTCTGCCATTCCTCCTTGCAGCCACTTGGGATGGCCTAAGACTGGACTTATGGTACTAGATTAGTAAATGTGACCTTGGGGCGCCTGGGTGGCGCAGTCGGTTAAGTGTCCGACTTCAGCCAGGTCACGATCTCGCGGTCTGTGAGTTTGAGCCCCGCGTCAGGCTCTGGGCCGATGGCTCGGAGCCTGTTTCCGATTCTGTGTCTCCCTCTCTTTCTGCCCCTCCCCCATTCATGCTCTGTCTCTCTCTGTCCCAAAAATAAATAAACGTTGAAAAAAAAAATAAAAAAAAAAATAAATGTGACCTTTAGTAATTTTTTCTTTATTCTTTGGGATTTCTACTAGCTTTTTTTTTTTTTTGAAGAAAATTGATGACTTTTGTATAGCTGATCTGTTATAAAGCTGACTTCACAGCTTAGCAATTATAGTGGGTGTTTAAACATTTGGTACTAAATTATGGCTTTTCAAAGTAATTAAAATTAATGTCCAGAAGCCAGTTACTCCTAAATTATCCAATTGTTGTCAGGCAGCTGCATGGTTGCTAATTTAACCTGTAAGTCAGTTTGCTGCCCATTAACTGAAAAACTATGTTCTGAGAGCTCTGTCAGAACTATCGAGTTTAAAAATATGTAAAATAGGGGCACCTGGGTGGCTCAGGGCATGATCTTGGGGTTTGTGAGTTCCAGCCCCGCATGGGGCCCTGTGCTCACAGCTCAGAGCCTGGAGCCTGCTTCAGATTCTGTCTGTCTCTCTGCCCCTCCCCCACCTCTCTCTCAAAGATAAATAAACATAAAAAAATTAAAAATAATGGCCTCTGTCCTCCATAGAATTCAGTCTCGTATGCATGTTTTTCCTTAATGATGTCTTTGATTTGGCTCCTTTTGCTCAAAAGAATCATATTTACTTTAAGGCATTACACGTGCATTTGATATTACATGATAGATAAGTGACACGTTATCTATAAAGGAAATTTTATGCCTTTTCACATTGAGAAATGTGTTTACATTATAACTTTATAGTGATTCTCATAAGAAAACTGGAGAATTTTTGTGTTTTTCCCTGAAATCGTAAATTACCATTGTGATTTGTCAAATGTATAATTTGTCCATTTTTTTTAAAATTAAAAATAATGTTTGGATACATGTAAAACCCAAACCAACCAGCTCCTCTACTCAGGTGCAGGTAAGCCTCCAGTGCCCTAGATGTCGCTCTGGCTCCACGATGGGGGTGGGCCTGAGTCTCTGTGGTTACAAAGTTGGGGGCGGAGAAGCCGAGACTGGCTGGGAAATGATGGCTGATGAAGACGAGGAAGTCAAGCAGATCTTGCAGAAATTGCAGGTGGGAGTCATAGGTTAAAATCTATATGTGCTTTTGTTACTCGGGAAGAAGGGGGGAGTCCAGTCTATATATTACCAGCGAATTACTTGGCGCATGCAGGACGCTGCATGTGTTAGTGAGGTTACTATAACAACTCCTGAGGGTTCGCCCGCTGGCGGAGAGGGGAGCCTCCCCTGTTACGGAAGGGGCGCAGCGGGGTGTTGGGACCTTCTGCTGCTGACCTGCCTGCACTCAACTTCACTCCTGTTTGGAAGAGGATTTGTTGCTCCTAAGTTTATTCTTGCGCTTCTAAATTTATTCTTCAACGTTCTTACGGAGTTTTGTTTTGTTTTGTTTTGTTTTTCCGATTCACCCATAACAGATAGTATACACATGTATGTAGCAGATCTGCAGGAGCTATTATCATGTAATGTTTTCATTCCCACAAAGGCCATTTCTTTACTACTTCTCTGCTTTGAAATTGGCAACAAGCACAGTAATAGCTTGCACCCCTTGTATCCTGGTTACTCCTCTCAGGACTGCACGGTTTTGATTCTTTTGCACACTTGCTGTTCCAGTTTGGGGTCTGATGCAGAGGGCCCATACTCCACCCAGTTCACAGTTGACTGCAGTTGTGAGGAGGGCTAGTCTTTTGTACTTGGTAGGTATGAGCTAACTGGTTACTTCTTTACCTTATTTCCATGACCCAATATTTTCCTTAAAACTCAGAAACTCAGTTCTTTGTGTTCTAAGACAGCCTGAAATTTAAACATTAGACCTGTGACAGGCTTATACCCTGACTAAAGGCTTGTAATGCAAAAAAGTTTAAACATTGGTGACATTTATTTGTTTCTTGAGCCTATTAAAATAACATTTTTTAGAGTGTGAGCTTTATTTTACTTCCAGTTGACTTGGATTAATTTATTTTCATTTCCTGTCGTGACTCGCTGAAATCAGAGATTATCAATACTGGCTCCATATTAGAGACGTTGTATATATGTATTTGGATACGTCTAGAAAAAAGTCTGAAGAGGTATACTAAACAGTAGTTATCCCTGAGGTTGTTCGGAGTGATTATGAGGAATTTCTTACTTTGTATTTTTTACATGTACATACTTGAATTTTAGCACCTTACATATATTGATTTTTCCACGAGACAAAAAGTTATTAAAAGTTCACTGCAGTGGGGCAGCTGAGTGGCTTAGTTGGTTTAGCGACCGACTCTTGATTTTGGCTCAGGTCATGATCTCACAGTTGGTGAGATCGAGCCCCGCGTTGAGCTCTGGGCTGACAGCACAGATCCTGCTTGGGATTCTCTCTGTCTCCCTCTCTCTGCCCCTCCCCTGCTTGCATGTGCTCTCTGTCTCTCAAAATGAATAAATAAACATTAAAAAAGTGTTTACTGCAGCAAAACAAAACAACAAAACTAAACAATTTCATGCATATTTGCTTTCACAGCTAGAATGAGACAATGAGACCCTCTCTAATCAAAATTCCTAATTGGCAGCCATGCTGATTGCAGGACAAAAGGAATTGTATTGTAAGTTTTGCTGAGAACTGTCTTTTCCTGGGCTCATTTGTCGTAGATGGACTAAGCATGTATGCTGGGAGTACCTTGGGGTAGGTGGGCAGGAGTGGTGCAGGAATGGAATGGGGGGGAATGGAGTAGAGGAGAGGAAAAAGATAGTGATGTTACTATTTATGGGAATGGTGGTACATTTTGATTTCTGCCTAAAAAGGGAAAAAGGAATGTAACAAAAGGATATTTTTCAAAGTGTGTTTTATAGACCATTTTCATTTCAGCCATCTAAAGTGCTTGTTAATAGGTGATTTGAGTTCTGTGAAAACTTCTAAAACCAGAATCTGTGGGCTGTGTCCTGAAAATAGTGCACACAATAAAATTTGAAAAATATTGCTACTACAGAGGATACTGTCCATTCTCTTTGCTCTGGGTGGGGTTTTAAATTAAGTACAGCACATAACCTGTTGGTTAGAGACAGGGATGATTCATTAAACCATTAAGTCAACATTTTTTTTAAAAGTGTTTATTTTTGAGAGAGAGCACAAGTGGGAGAGGGGCAGACAGAAGGGGACAGAGGATTCGAAGCACGCTCTGTGCTGACAGCAGAGAATCCAATATGGGGCTCGAACTCATGAACCATGAGATCATGACCTGAGCCAAAATCAGACACTTAACCAGCTGAGCCACCCAGGCGCACCTCAGTCAACATTTTTTTTTTTTTATTTAAAAAAAATTTTTTTTTTCAACGTTTATTTATTTTTGGTACAGAGAGAGACAGAGCATGAACGGGGGAGGGGCAGAGAGAGAGGGAGACACAGAATCGGAAACAGGCTCCAGGCTCTGAGCCGTCAGCCCAGAGCCTGACGCGGGGCTCGAACTCACGGACCGCGAGATCGTGACCTGGCTGAAGTCGGACGCTTAACCGACTGCGCCACCCAGGCGCCCCTCAGTCAACATTTTTAATGAGGGCCTATCATGTCCCAAATCCTGTTGTAGTGCTTATGTATAGTTCTGAACATGGGAGACAGGAGATTAAGACCCTCCCATCATGGAGCTTACATTCTAGTGGTGGAGACAGACATAGACCGCTAATGTATAGGCCACATAATTTCAAGTGATAAGTACAATGGAGAAAAATAAGAGTGTGATTTAACAGTGGGCAAAAGTGGAAGTGGTTACTTTAGTTTGGGGAGTCATGGAAAGCCTCTCTGAGAAGTTGATATTGAACTGAGATCTAAATGATGATGAAGAATGAGTCACGCAGAGATATGGTGGAAGAATGTCCAGGCAGGGGGAACAACATGTATAAGGCTCCCATCGTGGGACTGAGCTTGCTGAATCTGAAGAACTCCATGAAAGCCAATGTGGCTTGAGTATTGTAGAGGGGAGAGTGAGAAGTGAAGTTTGTAGCAGGGTGAGTAGTGTGAGGTCAGATCGTACAGTCTTCTCAGCTGTGGTTAGGAGTTCGATTTTATTCTACAGTGGAAAACTGAGAGTTTGTGAAATGATGTATATATTTGTAAGGTCATTCCGACTATAATGAGGAGAATAGGAGAGAATAGAAACAAGATGACCAGGTAAGAAACTATTGCAATAGTCCAGGCAAGTAATGGTGCTGATTTAGTCCAGGATATTACTAGTGGGATGGAGATAGGTAGATGGATTTAGTTGTGGAGGTAGTTAAGATGTGACAGATGTGTTGTGAGTTGTGTTATATATTTCTGCTGCTGTTCATTTTCAGGAAAGAACAGGTAATGGAAAAGCTTTGGTGTCCCAGGAAGACTCAGAGACAGAGGTATTTAAAATAGGAAAGGGAACATTTACTTGGGAAGAATACAAGAGAGCCAGAAGGTGACTTGACAAAAACAAAACAGAACAAAACAAACAAACAAAAATAGGAGTATTTGAAGAAACAAAATCCTGGAAAAACACCAAGGTTCTCAAACTTAAATCGGTCTGTTTGTTGTGGAAAACAGTGGCTCTCACATGTTTATCATATTCACAAAGGTCATATATTTTCAGATACCAGCATAGGAAAAATCAGAGAGTAGGTTATTTTTGTCAGGAAGTCCAGTTTTCAGGGGAAATTTCAAAGTTTTATATATTCTGGAGGGCAGTCACATATTGGATTATCTTATTAACTTTTTGTTTTATCTCAAGTTTCAAAGTGTTTCCCTCCTCTTGACTATGGTATATGAAGTGCTTAGCCATACTGAAAGCCCTGCTGGGGCTGGGACAGAGACAGCTGTCATCATGGTGCACAGACTGGCACGGAATTTCACCAGAGTGGTCCTGGGACAGTGGCTACTTTTCTTCATGACCTGTGCATTTTGGTAGACCTGTCCGCCTGCCTCTTGTGTCATTCCTAGTGAGATAGAGAATCAGTAATTCTAGGCCCCAACTGGTATGGCCAGCCAGTCTCAAATTTCCTTGTCTGCCGTTCGCTCCTCTTTTCCACAGAAATCTTGAGTAAAAGGTGAAAGATTTACACGATCTGAAGAGAAACCAGAGTATGATGTTCTCTCCTCTTAATGGTACCCTTTTTACACTTCTTAGGAACTGGTGGATCAGCTCTATTCGTTTCGAGAGTGCTATTTCGAGACACATGGTGTGGAGGATGCTGGAAGGAAGCAACAGGATGTGCGGGAAGAGATGGAGAAGACCCTGCAGCAGATGGAGGAAGTAGTGGGTACGAGTCGCAAAAGAGCATGGAGCCCCCTGCGGGAGGCTAACTAACGTGCTGCAGAGTTTTGCTCTCTCTTTCTAAACTCTGCTATATTGTTTGTGGCCATTGCAGGATGGTACAACAGAATATTTCTTCTTTTTTAAAAAAATTTTTTTTTCAAAAAAAATTTTTTTTTTTGAGAGAAAGAGCAAGTGAGCAAGCAGGTGAGGGGCAGAGAGAGGGGGAGACACAGAATCTGAAGCAGGCTCCAGGCTCTGAGCTGTCAGCACAGAGCCCAAGGCGGGGCTCAAACCCATGAACTATGAGATCATGACTTGAGCCGAAGTCGGATGCCTAACCGACTGAGCCACCCAGGCGCCCCAACAGAATATTTCTTCTAAGGGCCACTGTGTAGGATGGCAGCCTACCGGTCCTCTAGACAATGTTTTCCAAAGTTTGATTATAGCGAATGCCATAAAATAAAAGAACATATTTTTTTCTGAGACTGTTCTTCTTAATTGACCTTTCTGCTTCTAATTTTTTTTACTTCCAAATTTTTTATATAATGATCATGCCATTATCTTTCTAAATATTTCTTCCTGCATTTAGTCTTACCCTTTTGTTTGCCTCTTTGCTCAAGTGTATTCAAAGATTCCTGCTGCTGACTGGTTAAAGTCTCAACACCTTAATTTGGTATGAATTAAAATGGTATTCAAGTCTCTATTGTCTGACCATTTCTGTTTGTTTTCTTCTACTCTTCTCTCTGCCTACTTACTTACAGAGGAACTTTCTGTTTCTTTTGGGTTGGACTATCAATTCTTCCTTGAACATGCCACAGGGGTTTCTGCCTCTCTGTCTTGGTTTACATAGTTTTCTCCTTTTCACTTTTTAAAGCTTATTCATTGGGATATGCCATATGCCCCTTTTCATTGTTGTTTTAATTTTCCACGAATATGCTTTGTTCTCTCTCTCTACCAGAGGGGCAATAAGCCCCTCCAGGGTAGGGATAATGCTTTCTTTGTTACCCCATAACCTAACACAGTACTCTGCATATGGTAGGCTTTCAATAAGTGGTTTGTTCATACAGATTTTCTTCAACTGTTTCATTCCTAGGGCTGACCTGAGGTTATTTCTTGAGAGAAAGTGTCCTGGTCTTATCTGTAAGATTGCCTCAGTTTTTCCAATTGCCTTTATCTTTTTCCCCTTCCACCTAGGTTCTGCCCAGGGCAAGGCCCAGGTTCTGATGCTGACTGGGAAGGCACTGAATGTGACTCCTGACTATAGCCCTAAGGCTGAGGAACTTCTGTCCAAGGCTGTGAAGCTGGAGCCCAAGCTGGTGGAAGCCTGGAACCAGCTGGGTGAGGTGTACTGGAAAAAAGGGGATATTGCGTCTGCCCACACCTGCTTCTCTGGAGCCCTCACCCATGTGAGCCGTCTATTATACTCTTGGAAAACACAGATGGGAAAGATGAGATTGTTTTGGTTCTATGAATTTCCCTAGGATATGAATACCAGAATAGAACTATACTGGAACTAGGAGAATGAAATCAGAGGGGAGGGAGAGTCGGAGCAGACCTGGATGAGGAAAATAGGGCCAAGGGACTGAGAAAGGAAGAAGATGATGGGATCAGGTTCAGGGATAGATGAGAGGTGAAGAAAGATTAACAACCAAGTTGATCCTTGTAGATAGAGGTCTAAGATATAGACGCAGTAAGAATTAAGATGAAAAATTAGATTTAGAAGATTAAGATGCATAAGAAAGGGGAAATAGAATCAGGAAGGGTGAGTATATGTCTTCTCCATTTGCAGTGCAAGAACAAAGTCTCCCTTCAAAACCTGTCCATGGTGCTTCGCCAGCTGCGGACTGACACTGGAGATGAACATTCTCGTCATGTAATGGACAGTGTCCGACAGGCTAAGTTGGCCGTGCAGATGGATGTCCATGATGGCCGTTCCTGGTGTGAGTGCTCTCAAAAGAAAAAGGTCTCCAATTTTCTAGAGCAGTGGTTCTCAGTATGGCTGCACTCCACAATCATCTGGAGCCCAACTGTTGAGTCTGGTTCTAAGTGTCTTTGTTTTGAAGAAGCCGGAAAGGTATTTTGATGAGCCACTATTCTAGGAACTCTTGGATCGTTTCATCCAAGAGAGGACGCTTATTTGCACATAAGCAAGGCAGGACTTTTGTGCAGTCTGTTCAAGTTTCTCCTTTGGGTCTATGTTTGCCTCTTTATCTCAGTGGAATTTGGGGTATACTAAATATAGTGTTATCACTGGATTTTGTCAGATGTGGGACCTTTCAAATAGACCCTTGAGGGTGACCAGAATAAGTTATATCTTGAACCTGGGCTCTGAGATGATTCATCACTATGCATCTCAGTTTTTTCTCTGCTTAGGAGGGGCAGGATGGCTGGGGTGGGCTGGAAGTGGGTGTTTCGCCTCTCCTAGGTACAAGGATAGAGCCAGGTGGATATTTTCCTTCCTCAGATCAGTTAGGCTCTGGTTAGATAGTTTCTGCCGAGGGCAGACCTTGTTAAGAACAGGGATCTCTGGCGTAGTTCAGAACAGGTCTTTCTCCCCTTCCCCTTGCTGGAAGTATGAGGGGATTTTTCTCTGATACTTGCTGGGGGAATCTGGCTGGTTGAAGCTTCTGGAGGTAAATCTCACAGTATTGTGGGGGCCTCCTTATGACCTGGACCTGTCATAGACTCTTAAGTCTGAAATTCTTTTTTGTCTGGCGAGAAAATGGGACGCAGGATGAAAAGTGAGAGATGGCTAATGTCTGGGAAAAGACAATAGCCCAGTATAAGGGTCTTTGCCCCGTTTTTATTAGGATCAGAAGGCTTACAAACATGGTGATGGACGTGCACAAAGAGACAGTCTGTGTGTGAACATTAACTCATGGACGTGAGGGAAAGGGGGTCTTGAAGATATTCGGGGTTAGGGGTTTGGGTTAATATAAAACAAAATCCTGGCACCGAATGGAAGGTTGTATACAGCAGACGGGAGGCAGCACCTCTGTTTATCTTAGGTAGCCTAGGGGATGAGACAGATAGAGCAAGTAACCTCAGGGTTAACAAGGCACCTTTTTCTTTTGCTAATCACCTCCGCTCTGGGCAGCTTCACCCACAGGCAGGCAGCAGTCGATAGCTGTAGTTACCTGTTTATCTAACTTGATCCTTCCCTCCTGTGAAAGCAGCTTTCTGCTGTAGTACTAAATTGGGGGGCCCTTCTGCCCTGAATATCTAATCTTGGTTATTTCATATACCTGTGTTCTGTATTGGGGCCTTCTTCCCGCCCTCTCTATACTTATTTATCTAATCTTGTTTACCGAAACTTGGGTGTGAACATCCTATGGCTTTGTAATTCTTTACGCCTTGTTAACCCATTGGTGTAAGCCCGGGGAATCTCTAAGTTTATTGCCCCACAGGGACCCCTGGAGTTTCTTGCTCCCAGACTTGTCCACGCTGAACCTCCAGCACTTTGTCATTTACAGTTCAGGTGTGCCTACCTCAGCACCGGGTCCTGCAGCTCGTGAGTGTCTGCCCTGGTCACTCCCTGTGTTCGCCTGACTCTCTCCAGTTTTAGGGGCAGTGGTTTGCCCTGTGTTGTTCCCTGTCTTCTGGATCCAAGAAGAGTTGAGGGTTTTTCAGTCTGTCAGGATGGAGTGGTAACTTCCAAGCCCCTTACACAAGGAGCCGGAAACCCTTTGTTTCTCTTTCAGATATTCTGGGGAATGCATATCTTTCTCTTTACTTCAATACTGGCCAGAACCCTAAGATCTCCCAGCAAGCCCTCAGTGCCTATGCCCAAGCAGTAAGTATTTATGGTCACCCCGGCCAGATGAATAGAGGTAGGAACAGCAGTTTCCATGTGGCTCTTTAGCAAGCAGCATGGGCGGTCATTAGTGGCGTTCAGTGTGTGTGGTTTTGCAAAGCTGTGTATGCAGGGGTGACTTATTTCTTCTTAATTTTTTTTTTAAATTTGTTTTTATTTATTTTGAGAGAGAGATAGAGAGCAAACGGGGGAGGGGCAGAGAGAGAGGGAGAGTGAGAGAATCCCAAGCAAAGCTCCATGCTATCAGCACAGAGCCCCACAATGTGGGGCTCAAACTCACGAACCAGAAGATCATGACCTGAGCCAAAATCAAGAGTCAGACACTCAACTGACTGAGCCACCCAGGCACCCCTATATCTTCTTATAACTTGAGTATTAGCAACAGCCTGCAAGGGTGCCTCACTGCTAGACAGCTCTTTGAACTATCCAGGTTTCCTGTAGGCATGTATAACCAATCTCAGAGCCCATCCCAACATGTTAATCTTTCGTAGTGGGGAAAAAGTCTATATTAAAATAATGCTTATTGGGGTGCCTGGGGGGCCCAGTTGGTTAAACATCCAACTTTGACTCAGGTCATTATCTCCCCACTTGTGGGTTTGAGCCCTGTGTCGGGCTCTGTACCTAACGACAGCTCAGAGCCTGGAGCCTGCTTCAGATTCTGTGTCTCCCTCTCTCTGCACCTCCTCCACTCACACTCTTTCTCTCTCAAAAATAAACATTAAAAAAATTTAAAATAAGGCTTATTAATATTTGTGTACATTTTTAAAGAAAAATGAAAGCACTAATACTTAAGTATAAATTAAGTGCTCTCCCTAGATTAACCATGAGATACTGTGGCTCTGGATTTCCCACAGGCTACAATAGAAAACAGCATATACCCCATTCTGCAGTCATTTCCTTGGGATTAATCCACTGGAGCTCCTGCTTTGCTTAGGCTTTCAGGCTGTTTTTATATCAATAGCCACTTACATGGGGGTTTCCCTCAGGTGTGAGAGCCTGGCCACTTATTATTAGATGCTTCACATTGGCCTTCTGAGCACTTTTGATTTAGGCCTCCTATACACTTTTCTTTTTTTTGCTTTCTTGCTTCTCTTGACATAGACCTTTGCTTTTTAATTTACCATTACTTATTTTGTTCTCTGTGGCAGAATAAAGAATGCACCTACCTTATATTCATGTTTGTAGTTTATGGACTGGCCTTTTTTCAATCAGGGAGCTTTAAGGCAGAGGAATTATATTTTAGTCTGATTTCTTACTTTGGTGAGTGTTTATATTTTAAAAAATAATAGTGTAGTTTTAAAAAATTTTATATTTGGCTTCTGCTAAATTGTTGCTTTTAACTTAATGTTGTTACCCAACCATAGACCTATTTGAGGCAACCATTTAAACAATTAAAAATTTTCTTTTAATGTTTATTTATTTTTGAGAGAGACAGAGAGACAGGGTGCGAGTGGGAGAGGGACAGAGAGAGAGGGAGACACAGAATCTGAAACAGGCTCCAGGCTCCGAGCTGTCAGCACAGAGCCCATGTGGGGCTTAAACTCACGAACTGCAAGATCATGACCTGAGCTGAAGTCAGACACTTAACCAACTGAGCCACCCAGGCACACCCAACCATTTAAACAATTTTAATTCATGTGTTTGTACTTTTGTAATGTGCTAGGCAATGAACATAATTAGAAAAATACAACGAATATAGCCAGGAACATAGCAGTTTCTTCACAGCACATCTGTCTGCACTTGCATGTGGTTTCTGGCCATCAACGTATGTATGTATGTATGTATGTATGTATGTATTCATCATTCATTCTTTTTTTTTATCATTTTTTTCTTTTAATTTCTTTAAATTCAAGTTAGTTAACATACAGTGTAGTATTGGTTTCAGGAATAGAGCCCAATGATTCTTCACTTACATATAACACCCAGTGCTCATCCCAACAAGTGCCCTCCTTAATGCCCATCACCCATTTAGCCCATCCCTATACTCACCTCCCTTACAGCAACCCTAAGTTTGTTCTCTGTATTTAAAGGTCTCTTATGGTTTGCCTCCCTCTCTATTTCTATCTTGTTTTTGGTTCCCTTCCCCTATGTTCATCTGTTTTGTTTCTTAAATTCCACATATGAGTGAAATCATATGAGATCTTTCTTTGACTTATTTCACTTAGCATAATACACTCTAGTTCTATCCACATTGTTGCAAATGGCAAGATTTCATTCTTTTTGATCACTGAGTATAGTATCCCATTATGTATATATACACCACATCTTCTTAATCATTTGGACATTTGGGCTCTTTCCATAATTTCTGGCCATCTATTTAAATTAGAGAATCAGAATTTGACTTTCTTTTTTTTTCTTAATAATTTTTTAAAAAATGTTTATTTTTGAAAGAGAGAGAGAGTGAGTGAGTGTGTGAGCAGGGGAGGGGCAAAGAGAGGGGTCAGAAGATCCAAAACCAGCTCTGTGGTGACAGCAGATAGCCCAGTGCAGGGGCTCGAACCCATGAATTGTGAGATTAAGACCTGAGCTGAAGTTGGACGCCCAACCGACTGAGCTACCCAGGCGCCCCCAGAATTTGACTTTCAATGGATGCTTTAAGGGGGCTTGAATGTAGAAACATGATTCTGCCAGTATTTGGAGCTGGGCTTGTGGGCAGAGGAAATGCTTTAAATAAGTGAAATTTCTTTTCTAGGCTTTCCTCATTTATACCATTATCTCACTATTAAAAATTTTTTTTATCAGAATGCTTTTACACATTTATTTTATCTGTATACTATTGCATGGATAAATTATAATCATATTTTAATATTTCATGTACACATAAAAACCATTACATCATTGAGGTGTCAGGGACTGAGTAATATACCACTCAAGCAGTTACTCTGTAAAAAGGTGGGTGTAGGTAACATTTTGACAAGGAAGAGGTCTAGGGCATGTTGACCATCCTTAAGAGTGAGATAGGATCCACTGATTGTCTTTCTCTCTCACTGTAGGAGAAAGTTGACAGGATGGCTTGCAGCAATCCTGATCTTCATCTGAACAGGGCAACGGTAAGACGAGTGGGGTAGTGATCACCTGAGTCAAAACAGTGACATCTGGGTCTTAGCCTGGGAGGATAACTGGATATTCACAGGGACAGGGTTGAGTACAAACTTTGAGAAGAGAGGCAAATTGTTTCCAGGAAGAGCTGGCTCAGTTTGACTTCAGTGTCTGATGGAGTGTCTGGTGGGAAAGGAGAAGGGTCCGAGGCTGTGGGAGGGATACATAGAGGATGGGAGGACAGTTTAGAAGACTTTTCTGAAATGTTCATTATAAGTATACAAATAGAATGACCCACTATCTGCAGCTTAGCTGTTTTAGAATTTGGAAGTTTGCTTCTTTGAAGGGATGCCATCTTTGGGGTTCGTGATCACCTTAGCCAGGATAAAGGACGGAAAGCATTGCTGTTTATTCAGATTGTTCATTGTAGAGCAGGAGAACAACTGGCAGAAGGGAAACAGTTTCTTTCTTTCTTTCTTTCTTTCTTTCTTTCTTTCTT